GAGGCTTGGCCCACAAATGCCGTGATGCCTGTCCCAGCTTAATTTCTTTCATGCTTCTTATTCATTTGTTTCCAAGTTTAGAACTTCTGAAATTATTTCTGTTTTCTAACATCAGAATAAACAGCAGTTGTATAATTGGATACACATGGGAAATTGTATCATTGTTGCTTACTTCCTTTTTTCTATTTCGGGTTACTTGCTGTGCATTTTTTTAAAAAGATTTGTTTATTTTTATTGGAAAGCCAGATACACAGAGAGGAGGAGAGACAGAGAGGAAGATCTTCCATCGGATGGTTCACTCCCGAAGCGGCTGCAACAGCTGGAACTGAGCCAATCTGAACCCAGGAGCCTCCTCTGGGTCTCCCACGTGGTTGCAGAGTCCCAAGCCTTTGGGCCATCCTGGACTGCTTTCCCAGGCCGCAAGCAGGGAAATGGATGGGAAGTGAGTTCTCCAGGATTAGAACCTGCATCCATATGGGATTCTGGCGCATTCAAGGCAAGGACTTTAACCACTACACTATCACACTGGGCCCACTTGTTTTACATTTGTGGTAAATCCCACTAGGCTCTAGATGGTTAGATATTAACCAGTGATAGAATTAAAATGAGATTATTTATGGGGGGTTTACTAGTCTTCTGTTTTGAGGTGTTGACAAGTCAAACCTTTTAGTCTTGTAGCCCTCCCTTGCAGGTTGTTATCTGTAGTACATCCTTGTTACATAATGTCAGTTGGGACCTCTAGCTATAATAATTCTGTGTATAATCAGTTCTTGTAATGGGAAGTTGATAATCCAGTCATCCAATCAGTGTGTCAGAATCAGCTGGGATATGTCAGAACACTTGTATTCTGAGACTCACAGTGCGTTTATTGGGCTGGGATGTTCAGGGGAAAGACTCAGATAGATACCTTTTGTATCTGCTGTATGCTTGTATGCCATTTGTCAGAACAGTTGGTGACTGGTAAGAATATCGAATCAGGCTATTGGTAATATAAATTGATGCATTTCATAGTTTTAATATAACTTAAAATTTTAAATCTCTCATGTATATACAAATATGCATGCAAATAGTTTCAAGAATTTTTTTATTGCCCCAGTCCCCTCAAGAGTACTTTCTTTTAAAAAAAAAATATTTATTTATTTATTGGAAAGTCAGATATACAGGGAGGAGGAGAGACAGAGAGGAAGATCTGTCCGATGGTTCACTCCCCAAGTGAGCCGCAACGGTCGGTGCTGTGCCAATCCGAAGCCAGGAACCAGGAACTTCTTCCGGGTCTCCCACACAGGTGCAGGTCCCAAGGCTTTGGGCCATCCTGGACTGCTCTCCCAAGTCACAAACAGGGAGCTGGATGGGAAGTGGAGCTGCCAGGATTAGATCCGGCACCCATATGGGATCCCGGTGTGTTCAAGGCGAGGACTTTAGCCACTAGGCCATGCCACCGGGCCTCAAGAATGTTTTCTATAGACCACTTTATAATTTCAAACAATTTTAAGCAACTGGTTGACTTGTTAGGACACAAGTGGCTAGATATATTATTGTAAGTAACATTTTAATATGTAACAATTAAAGATGAAATAATTATAAAATAATTTTAAGTCTTTTTTTTTTTAGTTGGAAAGGCAGAATCACATAGAGAGAGAAAGATCGTCCATCTGCTGGTTCACTCCACAAGTCTCCGCAGTGGCCAGAACTGAGCAGATCCAGTGCAGCCAGGAGTCAGGAGCTTCTTCTGGGTCTCGTGCAGGTGCAGGATCCCAAGGCTTTGGGCCATCCTTGACTGCTTTCCCAGGCCAAAAGCAGAGAGCTGGTTAGGAAATGGAGCAGCCAGGACATGAACTGGCGCCGACATGGGATCCTAACACATGCAAGGTGAAGACCTTAGCCACTAGGCTACCACACCAGCCCCATAAAAGAATTTTGAAGACATTTTTATAAATCCTGGTATGGAAGTATATCTAGGATATATTGTTCAATAAGCAAGTGACAAAATAATCTCAGCTTCTTTTTATTTGACTTTAAAGATGTTGTCATTAAATATTTTTCTTGAAGATTTATTTATTTTTATTGGAAAGTTAGATATACAATGAGGAGGAGACAGAGAGAAGATCTTCCATGTGCTGATTCACTCCCAAGGTGACTCCAACAGCCAGAACTGATCCGAAGCTTGGAGCCTCTTCCACGTCTCCCATGAGGGTGCAGAGTCCCAAAACTTTGGGCTGTCCTTGACTGCTTTCCCAGGCCACAAGCAGGGAGCTGGATGGGAAGTGGAGCTGCCAGGATTAGAACCAGCAACCATATGGGATTCTGGTGCATTTAAGGCGAGGACTTTAGCCGCTGGATCACTGCTCTGGGCTGTCTGTAAAGATTTTATTTATTTTTTGAAAAGTCAGATTTACAGGATGAAGGAAAGACAGATAAAAAGATTTTCCGTCCATTGGTTCACTCCCCAAGTGGCCACAAAGGTCGGTGCTGAGGCAATACAAAGTCAGACGCCTGGAATTTCTTCAGGTCTCCCATGTGGGTGCAGGGTCCCCAGGCTTTGGGCCGTCCTCTGTTACTTTCCCAGGCTATATGCAGGGAGCTGGAAAGGAAGTAGAGCAGGTGGCACATGAATAAGTGCCCATATGGAATCCTGGCATGTTGAAGGTGAGGACTTTAGCCACTGAGTTGCTGTGCCAGGCCCTGAGTTCAACTTCTCAAAGTCTCAGAGTGACTAGGTAGCGAATGCTGAGAAGTTGTGCCCAGCACAGTTTACAGTGGCTGTCTGTTGTTAGCTGAGTGAAAATGATCAGAGTGGGTGACACAGCTTAGAAACCTGCCCCAAGGAGAAGAATCTGCTAATCAGAAGTACAGTGACCAAGAGCAAAAGAAGAATCAGAGGCACAATGAATGTTACTGAAGACTCCTCTGCAAATGAGCAAAACCCTTTGCCAATCTCAGAGTTCACTGAGGAAGACATCGAGGAAATGGAGGATACAGAATTCATAACACTTGTTATAAAGCTTCTTATCAGCAACGAGAAGCACATAAAGCAGGCGTTCAGGGAATTTAAGGAACATGTCATACAGGAAATGAATCAAATGAAAGCTAATGTATTAGAAATGAAGAATACAGTGAAGCAAACTAAAAGTACAGTGGAGAGTCTCCAAAATGGAATGAAGGAGAAAGAAGAAGGAATCTCAAAACTAGAAGATATATATGTCCTGTCATCAGTTGGAAACAAACAAAAAGCTGGAAGCAGAGCTGGGTCAAGCTAAAAAAATATATTCAAGAATTGAAAGACACTGTTAAAAGGCCAAACCTAGGTGTTAAGTTAAGATGCACAAAGAGAAGCTGGGATTAAAAGTGTATTCAATGAAAATTTCCTTAATCTGGAGAAAGAATTTGGAAACATCATCCAGGTGGGGCACACCACTCCCAATAGGGTTGACCAAAAGTGAGTTTCATCATGACACATGATAATCAAGCTCTCTTCAATCAAACATAAGGAAAAGATCCTTAAATGTGCTCGTGAAGAAAAAAATCAACTGACATATAAAGGAATGCAATTAAACTCACAGGAGACCTCTCATAGGAAACTCTACAGGCTAGAAGAGAATGGAGCAACATATTCCAGATTCTAAAAGAATTATTGGCCCGGGATAACATACCCAGCAAAGCTTTTCTTTGTCTTTGAAAATGAAATAAAATTCTTCCAAAGTAAAAAAAAAGTTAAAAGAATATGCCTCTTCCAAACCTGCCCTACAAAAGGTACTTAAAGATGTTCTCTTGACAGAGGACAGAGAAGAGGAATAGCACCCACCAAAACAAAAGGTAAATGCGAAGAAAATCCCAGTAAAATAACAACAGAAGACTAAATCAATGCATAACCCATTGATAAAATGGCAGGACCAAAGTACCATCCATACATATTAACCCTGAATGTAAATGGCTTAAACTCATCAATCAAGTGTCATAGACTTATAGACTGGATTAAAAAACAAGACCCATCTATTTGTTGCCTACAGGAGACATATCTCACCAACAAAGATCAGCGAAAACTGTAGCTCATGGATTATGATTTTTTTTTGTTAGTTTCACTTCTTCAAAACGCTTACTTATTAAATTCTTCGGTGACTCATAGGTCATACAGTAGCATCATTTTCTTCAAAAAGGTTCTTGATTTTCATTTCTTCAGCAATACATTAGTCATGTTATTTAACTTCATGGTGGTATTAGTTTCTTTTTTCTTCCTGTTGTTAATTTTGTATCGTGGCTTTTCATTTAAGGGGATGTATAGTAATTATGTAATGGAGACTATCAGATCCAGTAGCTTCTTATTTAACTTCATAGTCTTTTCTTTTTTCTTCTTCTTGTTGATTTTGTATTGTGGCTTTTCATTTAATGGGATGTATACTGTGTAATGGAGACTGTCATATGCAGATGTGAGGATACAGTGCAGTATGCATCTCTACTTCCAGATGAAGATGGACTCCCAATGAAACTGTTTGCTATATTTTGACAGTAGGATGTTGGACTCTCTGCCATTGTCCATGCCCGCATTGATGGACATATGGCTGTGCATGAAGAACTATACTGTAGTAATGATATAAGGAAATTTAGTGTGGGGGAAGAAATTGATAAAGGAATTAGGGAAATCTCAGGGCATATGGAACTGTATCATAAAATGATAATTGTAACAATAATAAGAAGTAATATTTGAAAAAAGAATTTGTAATTTGGGAGAATGTCAAAACCCTTTTGCTTATTTGCAGTGAAGATAAAATTGAGGTCCCAACGTTGTATGAAAGTAATCAATTTTACTCTTATAAAATCATTTAGGATGAAAAGTATTTTCCCTGGGTCATAATTCCATTGGCTGTTGCAGAACTATTGAATGTCTCTGTATAGGCAGATCCACAAATTGGGTTGACATGTTTTAGCTTAATGCTTTCTTAGTTGATGAGTCTCTTGCCTATGGGGACATTAACCCCTTTTAATCTCCTCTTTTGTAATTTTAGGCCCGATGAGAGAAAGGGAAAGTTAAGGATGCTGGAGCAGAACAATGGATTTCTCCTTCTCTTTCATGCAAGGGATCATGGGAAACACAATTCAGCAACCACCTCAACTCATTGACTCCGCCAACATCCGTCAGGAGGATGCCTTTGACAACAGCAGTGACATTGTTGAAGATGGTGGCCAGACACCGTATGAAGCTACCTTGCAGCAAGGCTTTCAGTACCCACCTACAACGGAAGACCTTCCTCCACTCACAAATGGCTATCCACCATCAATCAGCATGTACGAAACCCAGACCAAATACCAGTCATATAATCAGTATCCCAATGGGTCAGCCAATGGCTTTGGTGCCGTTAGAAACTGTAGCCCTCCCGACTATTACCATTCCGAAATTCCAAACACAAGACCACATGAGATTCTGGACAAACCTTCCCCTCCACAGCCACCACCCCCTCCTTCGGTACCACAAACTGTGATTCCAAAGAAGACTGGCTCACCTGAAATCAAACTGAAAATAACCAAAACTATCCAGAATGGCAGGGAATTGTTTGAGTCTTCCCTTTGCGGAGACCTCTTAAACGAAGTGCAGGCACATGAGCACAGCAAGTCCAAGCATGAGAGCAGAAAGGAGAAGAGGAAAAAGAGCAGCAAGCACGACTCGCCCAGGGCCGAGGAGCGCAGGGTGCACAAAGCCCCCAAGCTGGAGCCTCAGGAGCCCAGTGTAAGTACAAACTTTTGTAATCTTTCTCTTTTACTGGAACCCCAGGAGATCTTTTTCAGTTTTTATCTCTTTGAATATGAATATTTGTGGGAACTTTTGTTTGCTAATCACCAGCTAGGTGGTTGGAACATTATAATAATTGCTGGGCAAATATTTGTTGAATGAATGAATGGACACGATTAGAGGGGAAGAAGTGTTTCAAAAACGCATGACGCCAAGAGTATTGTTCTTACGTTTCTCTGTGCTGATAGCCTTGATTAATTTCATTTCCTCATAATAAACCTCTGGGTACTCAAAATAAAGGAGAAAGTTAAAGACAAGATGGTTATTTGTATTGGTTTTTCATTTATTTTAGATCTCATCTTTTCTGGTAGAGTTTAGATCTGATACTGGTTGCTGGTGTATTTGCTATAAAATAGCCTGAAGTACCAGAAGAACTCTAAAATCAGAATTAGTATTGATACAAATTAAATAAAACTTTGGGTAGACGGTTTTTGTTTTTACCAGAGTCATTCTTGATAGGCGATCTAAATGTCACAGTGCTAAATTTCTTACTGTCAGGTTTTCGTGTGGACTTGCGTGGCAATAATGTCATAAGTATGTTACAGACCAAGTCTAACTAGAGTAATATCTTCCTGATATGAATTGCCGAGGTTTCCTAGACACTGATTTCAAAGAAAGCTTTTTGTGGCAGTCATCTGCTTTTACTTCTGCTGTGCCCTGCATGGATGGCTTCATGTATTGTCTTCATTCAAGTGTTGCCATGCTTCCCGCAATCCACCTGCCATCTTTTCCTGGAGTCAAGGTCACAGTGGCTGTCGGCGCTTACAGTTCCAAGCAAGACATTTCACTGTGTTCTCATTATTCTGAGGTTTTGTTTACTCAGCGCATGCTGGTGGAATATCTGCTACGCCTTTGGTGCTGTTCTAGTATTTGAAGGTATAGCAATGAGTAAAAGTAAAGACAGGCTGGCCATGTGGCAAAGTACGTGTCGCCACTGCCTTTGTTGCCAGTATCCCATGTGAGTGCTGGTTCAAGTCCCAGCCGCTCCGTTTGTAATCCAGCTTCCTGCTGATATTGTCTGGAAAGGTAGTGGAAGATGGCTCAAGTACGAGGCTGCCCATGATTCGTGTGGGAGGCACAGGAGGTGTTCCACACTCTTGGCTTCACCCTGGCCCAGCCCTGTGTGTTGGAAGATCTCTCTTTCCTTGTGTATCGCCATCTCTCTCTCTGTCACTCTGCCTTTCAAATAATAATATGTATTTTCACAGTAAAGATGTCTGTTCTCAATATGTTTACACAAAAGTACTTTATAAAGTTCATGGAAACTGAAATTGAAAGATGTTGTTTTAATTGTTTTTTTTTTTAAGATTTATTTTTTTAATTGGAAAAGCAGATTTATAGAGAGCAGAGACAGAGAAAACTCTTCCATCTGCTGGTTCAGTCCCCATAAAAGGTACAGTGCCTAGAGCTGAGCTGATCCGAAGCCAGGGGCCAGGAGCTTCTTCCAGGTCTCCCACACAGATCAGGGTCCCAAGGCTTTGGGCCGTTCTCTACTACTTTCCCAGGTTACAAGCAGGGAGCTGGGTGCTAAGTGAGGCAGCCAGGACATGAAACTGGCTCTCATATGGGATCCCGGTGCTTGTAAGAGGAGAATGTAGCCACTGAGCCAGTGTACAGGGCCCAAAGATGTTTATTTTTATGTCAAAAATTTGTTTTGAAATCAGTACGTATGAGAGGTGTTTAAAAAATTCGTGAAAATGTGTATTATGAAAAACTTTCTGTTTTTTCTTGTATCAAGATAAACTTCAAAATTTTTATATTAATTTATTTGAGAGGCAGAAAAAGAAAATGTGCAAGATAGCATCTCCTGATTCCCTCCACACAGGCCCATGAAGGTGGGGTGCAGGTCTCCCATGTGGGTGGCGGGAATCCAGCTGTGTGGGCCATGCCTGCTCCCTCCCTGGCTCTGCATCCACAGGAGGCTGGTCTAGGAGTCAGACTCAGATCCTTTGATGTGGAATGCCAGCATCCCACTAGCATCTGCGAGGCCAAACACCTGCCTCAGCTTATCTGACAATTCCATTAAAAAAAAAAAAAGACTGATATATGTTTATTGGAAAGGCAGATTGACAGAAGGGGATACAGAAAGATCATCCATTCTCTGGTTCACTCCCCAAATGATCGCAACAGCCAGAGCTGAGCTGATCTGATCCAGAGCCAGGAGCTTCTTCTAGGTCTCCTGTGTGAATGTAGGGCCTTGAGCCATGTTCTCTGTAGCTTTCCAGTCCATAAGTAGAGATGAGATCAGAAATGTAGCAGCCAGGATTTGAATCGGTGCCGATATGGGATGCAGACACTTGCAGGCTGAGTATTAGACTCTTGAGCCACCACACTAGCCCCTCTATCCTATTTTTACATGGATTCTTTAAATGGATTTTATTTTAAGTAAATTAAAAGATCTCATTGATTGGAGTTCACTTTTTTTTCCTATTATGTCCAATTACACAAAAGTGTTTTATGTATTTATTTGAAAGAGGAACAGAGAGGGAGAGATATAAAGAGAGATATTCATTTACTGATTTGCTTCATTTACTTCCCAGATGGATGCAAAGATTCAGGCTGGGCCAGGTTGATGTCAGGGGCCTGAAATTCCACCCAGGTGTCTTGTGTGAGTGGCAGGGACTCACATAGTTGGGACATCATCTCCTCTGCTTTCCCAGCCAAGTTAGCAGAGGGCTAGATTGAAAGTGGAGCAGCCGGGACTCAAACCAGTACTCATATGGATTGCTAGCATTGCTAACAGAGACGTAACCTGCAGTACCATTGATAAATTATTTATTCAGTTCTCACCCTATCCCCACAGAACCTTGCTTACATAGCGTTTTTTTTTTTTTAAGATTTGTTTTTTGTTATTATTTTTTGCAAAGTTAGATGCACAGAGAGGAGAGACAGAGGAAGATCCTCTCTCTGATAATTCACTCCCCCAAGTGACTGCAAGGCCGGAGCTGTGCCAATCTGAAGCCAGGAGCTCTTCTAGGTCTTCCATGTGGGTGCAGGGTCCCAAGGTTTTGGACCATCCTTGGCTGCCTTCCTAGGCTATAATCAGGGAGCTGGATGGGAAGCGGGGCTGCCAGGATTAGAACCAGCACACATATGGGATCCTGGTGTGTTCAAGGTGAGGACTTTAGCCGCTAGGCCACTGCATCAGGCCACTGTGCCAGGCCCTGTGTAGTATCTTAAAGTGACTGTTGTGTAGATGAGCAAGTGGAGAGAGAGGATGAAGTTTCTGCTCTCCAGATTACATTCAGTATAACATTTCTTGCCTAGACCTATTGTGAAAAAACATATGATACACTATGCGTTGGAGAATTTCGGAACCCTTCCTTTGGGTTTAGCTTATTAGCTCTGAGAACTGTTTTGCTGTCCCATCTTGCTTCTGTTGGCAGGAGAGGGCCTTGGAGTACAGCTAGCCGTCAAGGTGTAGTGCCCCTGTGTTCTGTGTGAGAGTCCCTGGCATTGAGTCCTGGATCTTCTGCTTTTGATCCAATCCGTTTTCTTGCCAGTGTATCCGGGAGGCAACAGAGGATGGCCCACATGCTTGGGTCTCCGCTACCCACCAAGAGCCTCTGATGGAGTGCCAGGCTCAACCCTGGTGGCTGTGGGCATTTGAGAGTGAATCAGAAGATGGAAGAGCTCTCTCTCTTTTCCATTTTCTCTGTCTCTGTGCCTTTCCAAATAAACAAACCTTTTTAAAGAAAAGAATCTGGCAAATAGGAGGGTATCCCGTTGAACTTATTAGACTTTTTGTTTTAATTGATATCTCACAATAGAGAAAAAGCTATTCAGGGCCCGGCTTGGTGGCCTCGTGGGTTAAGTCCTCCCCTTGAACATGCCGGGATCCCATATGGAACCCAGTTCTAATCCCAGTGGCCCTGCTTCCCATCCAGCTCCCTGCTTGTGGCCTGAGAAAGCAGTCAGGACTGCCCAAAGCCTTGGGACCCTGCACCCACGTGGGAGACCTGGAGGCGATTCCTGGCTCCTGGCTTTGGATCAGCGCAGCAGCTGTTGCACTCACTTGGGGAGTAACTCTTCGGACTGAAGATCTTCCTCTGAGAGTCTCTCCTCTCTGTATATCTGACTTTGCAATAGAAATAAATAAATCTTTAAAAGAGAAAAGGCTATTCAGAGGCAGGATAAAACAATTTGGTTTTTTATGTCTGCTTCCTTCTTTATTGGAATCTAAGAAAAAATTGAGTACAGTTAACATTTTCGGTAGTCACTTCGCAGTGAGATTCTTTTTTTTTTTTAAGATTTATTTATTTATTTATTATTGAAAAGGCAGATATACATAGAGGAGGAGAGACAAAGAGGAATATATTCCGTCTGATGGTTCACTCCCCAAGTGACCGCAACACAGGTGCTGTGCCAATCTGGAGCCAGGAGCCAGGAACCTCCTCCAGGTCTCCCACATGGGTGTAGGGTCCCAAGGCATTGGACCTTCCCCCACTGCTTTCCCAGGCCACAAGCAGGGAGCTGGATGGGAAGTGGAGCTGCCGAGATTAGAACCGGTGTCCATATGGGATATTAGCACGTTCAGAGCGAGGACTTTAGCTGCTAGGCCTCGCCGCCAGGCCCTGCAGTAAGATTCTAAAGCCAACTCCATTTCTTGTCTCCTCATGTCATTTAAAGCTTAAGTTCACTGCTCTGTCAAAGATTTACAATGTTTTAGAAGAGTTGTAGTTCATTTTGTTTCAGTGACTCATGATGACTATAATTTGGCATTTGATTGTATGTTGGAATAAGGAACACGTGTGACTGACGCTTTAAGTGTAGAGGCTGGTTGTGGTTGCGCTAAATGTTACTAAGACCATTTCCTGAAAGTTGTGTCTTTGGGAAAAATCCAGATGGTGTGAGATTCCTTCCTGGTTTCTCTGCTCCATCCTCTTGCTCTCCCTTCCCTCTCTCTCTGCACTCCTGTCCCTCCTGTCCCCTGTCTT